CAAAAATTTTTTTTGTAGAAGTGTCGTTGTCATATGAAGGCAAAGTGTGTCCGGATTTTGTGCCAAAAGAAGGATATCATCCAGGTGATACAATGGACTCCTTGGGAGCAAAGCAATGCCATGAATGGCTTCATCAGTTTGGTGTAGCACCAAGGAGCAGATGTCAGGAATATATAAGGATCCAACATGCATTGTGCAGTAAAGCTGATTATGTATGCCGGACCTTAGAGTGGCCAGGTTAACGCTACAAGGACAGAGAGTAATCAGGGACAAGCTGAGGTCAGGGTAGCCAGAAATCAGGAATAGCAAGAATACAGAAACCGAGTCATAGGAGAACAGAAGGTAGATTTGTCAAACAAAGCCAAAGTCATAACCAAGAATACATAATAGAAACAATGCGCTAATTGGAACAATAATGAACCACAACAGGGTAATGACCTATACCCTGGGATTCCTTTTTATAGTGTGCTCTTTAAATTTGTAGCCATGCCCCAAAACATCACGGGCCGTGATGTCACCAATGTCATGACGTCCAAGCACACGCACCGTGTCATAAAAATGGGCGGGCCAGCATGAGAATTGTTGGAGAGAAGAGAGGGACTTTGGGAAAGGTCCTTCTCCACATGCAGGACGTCTCCAGGTTGTGGCACAGGCTGTGCCAACACACAAGGTACCCTGACAGCAGAACAAACACCAAAAAGGAGGAGGCAGGTGAACAGCCAGTGTTACTGTTACCATTGGAGGTAAACAAAGTGATGACTACAGGAACCATAAGGTAGACATATTTGAGGTCCATATGGGAGAACCAGTCTCCCTTGCAGAGTAGGTAGCATAAGAGGTGAATGCCCACCATTTTGAAGTGGCGATATACTATGTACTGATTTAGGTCCTGTAGATTGATAACCATGCAAAATCTTCCCGATTTGCTGATAATGTTGCTGATAAAACAAGTTGGAAAAGACCATCGTCTGATGAGATGAGATTGCAGAGTTCAGAATGGAGAGTTGCAGTGTCCGCCTTGTTCATCCACAGTTGCACTGGAAAAGCGTTCAGTAGGGGATCGGATGTGAAGTTGATGAGAAACTCTGCAACTGTTTGAAGAATCCATAGGTCCTGTGTGAGCATCGACCACAATTGGAAAAAATGGGTTAGATGGCTTGCAATATGAGCATGAGAAAAGTAAAGGTCAGTTACCTAAAGCAGTTTGACCATGGAGTGAAGCAGACCCATGTCTGGTAATGGATCCTCTAGGGAAGCATTTCCCAATTGGTGTTCTGTGGAACCCCAGGGAACACTATTGGGGTACCGCTGTAATTTCAGCAAACAAAATGACCACCGCGATTTGATCGCTTAACAGGGGCCTGGTTGGGTGCCGAGGCCCTTTATGAGCATAACCGGGCCCTTGTAGTATCGACCAGCTGGGAGGAAGTGACAGCACTTCCTCCCAGCTTCACAGAGTTGCTGTCATGCAGTAGGGAGGGAGGAGGAGGCTGGAGATGGCAGCCCTGAGAGGGACAGCATGCATGGCAGAGGAGAGGCTGGAGTGAGCATGCAGCAGCTCACTCCCATCAACCTCAGCCAACATCACCAGGACCACAAGGTAAATTAACAGAAGGGTGGCTCTGATGTATGTCAGATTGTGTGTGTGTATGTGCCAATGTGTGTATGTGTCACTGTGTGTGTGTGTGTGTGTGTATGTGCCAGTGTGTATCAGTGTGTTTTCATGTGCCAGTGTGTATATGTGTGTGTCAGTGTGTATATAACAGTATGTGTATATGTGTTTTAAGGTGTGTGTATGTCAATGTGTGTGTATGACTGTGTGTGTATGTGCCAGTGTGTGTATCTGTGGGTGCAAGTGTGTGTATGTGTCACTGTGTGTATCTGAGTGTGTCTATTTGTGTGTCAATGTGTGTGTGTGTGTCACTGTGTGCATCTGAGTGTGTGTATGTGCTAGTATCTGTATCTGAGTGTGTGTGGATCTGTATGTCAAGGTGTGAGTGTGTATATGTTTGTATGTGCCATTGTATCTGTGGGTCAAGGTTTGTGTATGTGTCACTGTGTGTCTTTGAGTGTGTGTATGTGACAGTGTGTGTATCTGTGTGTCAAGGTGTGTGCATCTGAGTGTGTGTATGTGTTAAGGTGTGTGTGTGTATGTGCCACTGTGTGTATCTCTGTGTGTATATGTCAGTATGTCTGTATCAGTGTGTTTGTACGTGCCAGTGTGTGTATCGGTGTGTTTGTATGTGCCAATGTGCGCATTTGAGTGTGTGTCAGTGTGTGTATCTGTGTGTCAAGGTTTGTGTATGTCACTGTGTGTATCTGAGTGTGTGTGTGTGTGTGTGTCAGTATGTGTGTGTATGTGCCAGTGTGTATCTGTGTGTCAAAGTCTGTGCATGTGTCAAGGTGTGTATATGTCAGAGTGTAAATGAATGTGTGTGTATGTGTCAATGTTTTTATATGTGTGTCTGTGTGGTAATTTGTTTGTGTTTGTATGTACGTGGCAGTACATGTGCATACATCCCAGCAATCAAAACCCAACACAACATGCAAACACACTCCTGCAAACACAAATATTACATACAAAAACCCTTGTTTCAAATTTCAAATTTATATACAAACACTTAAACACTAATACTACACAAGATGTAAATCCACATTTAAAAGCCAGCACTACATCCAAGCACACCCATGCACGCAAATGGAAACATTACATACAAACACACCCCTGCACGCAAATGCAAACATTACATACAAACACATCCCTGTATCAAAACGTTAACATTATATACAAACACCAACTGCAAGCACAAAAGCACATCTGCTCCTAAGTACTATATTTGTTTACTATCTACGCTGCAGCGCCAAAACTTTTTTGGCTGTTCCACATTGTTAATGCATTACGTCAAGGGGTTTCACAGGAAAAATTAATTGGTAAACCCTGCTCTAGAGAATAGTTGCATGTGGTAATACCACTTTCTGTTCCATTCTCACACCATATTGGGAACAAAGGTTCCATCTGCCAAGGCCTCATCAGCAATGATGAAACTTTGTATAAGAGGTCCTGCAATATCCAATAATTTATCTTGAACAGCTTTTAGGCCTTGCCTCAAAAAGGTCAGCAATAAGGGATCAAATTCTGATTTGAGTGCAATTTTTGAGAAATGGTAGGGTGTGGGCATTCTGCCCTTATCTCCTTTTCTAGGCATAATGCCCACATTCTGCGGAACAGATAGATATGATCTGGGGGTGTCCACTCAGCTGAGTGTGGATTTCTAAAAATTCAAGGGTGGGGCCAACTGTGAAGTCCAGAAAAATATTTGGGGTCTAGTCATGGCACTTTTGTAAGGGGATTAGAGCCATTAGAATTTGGTTTGGACTGCACAACAAATGATTCTTTGATAAATTTAGATTAGACGTGATACATTGCTGTGTATCAGTGGGGAGGTTGTCATCAGAATAACCCGCGCAATACTCGTCTATGACCTGTAAGTTGTAAGATGTGTACCATTTATAAGGATATAAATCTTGTAATCCCTGTTGGGGTAGGTAGGTAATGAAGCAGTGTGTAGATTGAACGAATATAATTAAATATAATATAAATAAAGAGAAGAGATAAAAATGAAGTTGTAAGTATTCTGTAGAAAATAAAGTAGCAAGAGTATTGGAAGAAAATTGCACAAAATGAGGAACCTATTTAACTAAGCGATAAGAAGGCTGAGCTCTTAGAGTCCAGGACACTGGGGAAAATACTGGATAAGAGTGCGTCCAAAATTTGCAATAACCAGTGATCAGGATGTGTCACAAAAAACTAGTGGGAAGTCGACAGCGTTGTGAATCGCTCACAACAAGCTGCCCACTGGGACTGAATGGGAGGGTAGAGATAATTAAGGCACGAGTCCAAGTAGTCTTAGTGCAAACCCCCACTGTAGTGGTGTATAGAACTTAGGGGAGAGGAGGCTTATGAAGAAGCACTAAAGTAAGAGAGAGAGAGACGCAGAGAGGCGCGGCTCTGACAGAGACAGTGAATCAACAGGTGAGGGGCCAATTACAAAACCTAAAGTATGGTCAAAAGTAGGCCGACTAGTTGGTGGTAACGGTCGGTCGCAAATTACATCATAGGTTTATTGGATATAATCTAAATAAAACTATGAGAAAAACACTAGTAAGAAAAGTGATAAATTAAATAAATAAAGACAATAAATAGAATATAAATGGAATAGACTCACGTGGTGCGCTAGCAGCACAGAAAGAGGGGTTGGGGAGACTTTCACAGCCCTACACTGATATACATTCTGATTGGTTGAATTTTTGTTTACTTTTGTGTATCTGTTTTATTTACTGCTGACAGGTTTCAGTAAAGAAAGGTAAAGCAAATATGAAGCCTCTGGTCTTGCCATAAAATTGCCATCCATCTTCTCTGACAAGACTGGAATCAGTGGGAATCAGCAGGACCCAGGTAAGTGTCAAATCGTGCTAAAACTGTTTGATCAGTTATGCTGGTACGGCTCCAGGGCACTTCTGTCACCATAACCTGCAGGCTGTAGTGATTATAGTGCTTGGAGTGTTCAGTTGAAATGCTTAGGGCACTATCTGTTGTAACACTCTTTGGAGATTAGATCGGTGACAGTACTAACATACATAGCAGATAAGCTGCTCTCTATAGATGTTTTCTTACTGCCTGTTTATCTTTGCACTGTATATGTTCAGAGCAGTCTCTTTGCACAACCTCAAAACAGTAATTTGTATGACTTCTCCAACAAGTTAGAGAAGGAGAGAAAGGGAGCTGCATGTGCACGGTAACCAACAACAAGGAAATATTTTAGAATTCAAATGTTGGTACGTTGGAGGCAGAGTAAAGATGCAGAATGATGCCAAGCGTTTTTTATTTTGCACAAGCTATGCAACATTAAACATGCAAAAATACAAAGTTTTGGGGTGGAGCCTGGCACTGAACCGGACCGGACGCCATTTCTCCCAGCTCCAAAAATTAAATGAACAATCTAAGTGTTATCCCGGTGACTAGCTACCATCCGACCCTGCAAGCACTAGATACAGCCTGGGGACACACCAGTGAATCCCCTGATGCCCTTCCAGTACTCCCCGAAGCACCCAAAGGCAAGACGGAGGACCGTGGCCTACCACAAACCCACCTACCGCGACCACGAGTATCTCTGGAGCGGGGACCTCGCGGGAGACGCAGCAGAGCTGTGGTCGACCCATACAACACCTGCCAATACATCCATGGGGCGCAGAAACCAGAAACCTACACCCGGTAATGCACCGAACAGAGGGATATCGGAGCTATGCTCCAGCGGCACACCTCAGTCAAGATGGCTGCCGCCAAATACCCAACTTCACCAAGGACTCCCCACACAGCTGCACCTGCAACATCTCAGCTACAGAGCCCAGCGGAGGACACACAGCAACAGCCCACAGCATCAGCAGGTACCTCTGAACCTGCAACCAAACAGGACCTCCAAATCCTATACACTATGCTACAGGACATTCAAAGCCTCCTCACTGCTGACCTGCCCATCCTAAAATCATCCATGCAACAACTAACAGGCAGAATGGAGGTAACTGAAGCAGATATTAAAGAGCTCTGCCAAGACACCTCCACCATGCAGGCATCTATACTCCAACTACAAGCATGCCAACAGGCTCTTTCACTACAGGTGGCAGCGCAGGAGGACAGGTACCGCCGCAACCATGTAAAGATAAGGGGCATCCCGGCCACTGTCCCTCAGGAGGAACTGCCACACTACGTGAGAAGGCTGCTGGCCTCAGTGCTGCCACCTGCTATTGTAAAAAAAATTAACATCGCTGTGCTATATCGCCTACCAACGCCCACCACAACCACTTCCACAACGCCGGTGACGTACTCCGCTGCGCACTACCTCAAGACAAGGGGCAAATAATGACAGCGGTAAGAAACAAGACCCAACTTGCATTTGAAGACTCACAATTGTCCTTTTACCAGGACTTATCCAAAGCCACACTGCAATGGCGAAAATCCCTGAACCCTGTCACCACCCGACTGCGGGCAGCAGGTGTGTCCTATAGGTGGGGAATGCCACGATCCCTCCTTGTCTCACACAAGGGGACCATACAAAAGCTAACCACAGGGACTGATATCCCAGCGTTCCTCGCAGCTCTAGACATGCAGGAGGTGACGGCAGCCCCAGCGGACTCAAATCGCGCCCACAGATGGGACCCATCCAGTGTGGTACCATTTGTGCCAAGAACTGCAGCCGACTGCCCGCCTGGCACCTGACTGGCAGGGACACCACCAGCCCCAGTCCAAACCCACTGGAGGGACTCACTGATCCAGCAGCCCTAGATTGCAAAGTTGCAAAGTTACAGAGTTGTAAAGTTTTAACGATATGATTTTGGTTACCCTTTTTTTTTGCCATATGCTTCTGTTTATTACTGTAGAATCACTCATACGAGGATACAATCTTTGGCCTGGGTCACCTAGGAATAGAGAGTCCAGGCTCACTATAACACAACCAAGCACTCACGAAGCAGTGCCATCTAGGGCCCTAATCCGGTTACATCCAGCCACACATAACCAGTCACCGAATCGCATACACCCCCCGCCCACTACCCCCTTGGTTAGGGGCTACGCCTCCCCTGAGAGGTCAGCCAGTGAGGAGGGCAGAACTCACACTAACGACACCCAAGTTCAGAAATCGCTTGATCTAACTCAAGACCTGTACAGGTTCCCAAGCTTGCTCACACATGACCACCCTCCCTGGGCCTGAACAGACATCACCAGTGTACCATGCACCATACTCAACAGAAGCCCCCTAGGGACCCACTCATGATCTACTTAAACAAAAAATGTGCATAATCACAATCACTGTATATGTGTAATATGTGCAATATCACTCTGTTTATTTTTCTAAAGTGACAGATATACATCAGTGTAATGCAATGTACAACAAAAATAAATAAATAAATATAGGAATAATAGCCCTAGCTAAGATACTTGCTGTATAAAAACATCTGTACACTTGCCTGCTTATCATATAATTGCACTAATTGCACAACCAGCTACAGACCCCAAGCAACTTAGTAGCTGGTTAGGATGATGAAGTCAGACATGTTAATTAACTTCTTGTAATCATAACCCATGCTAACTTGTATTTACTAACATTCTGATCTAAGCAACATTACTTTAACATTTCAAAATGTGCCGATAATCTCAATGCTCCAACTGTTATGTCTGAAAATTATGCTCTGGGAATGCTATTGGGGCACCACGAGCTTGTATGTTATTTACTCAAAGCACGATAAAAATAAAGAATTATAAAAAAGCAGGTGAGTAACAAAATACTCATATGGTCAGGTAGCTAACAGTAAAACAGTAATTTACAAGGTGATGTACCCATTTTTGTTATATAGGTTTAAAAAAAAGTATATGGGATATATAAAACGTTAAAAAAAATCTAAACATTAGTCAGCCAGTAAATATGGGAGTCTGTGAGTATGCCCAATTGTGAATGGCCAAAGAGGAACCAGCCATATATTAATTCTCCGCAACTCTGGAGTGAATTTATGTAGGAATAACACCCTACTTAACAGAATTAAAAACAATAATCCGTAACCAAGAAAACAATATAGACATGTTTGCAAACCTTATGTCCTAGTAAAAGGGCAAAATAAGTATTAAGAATGTTCTGAGCCAGGAACAGTTGGAACATTTCCAATATCCAAAGTGTGTGTAGAGCGTGTCTCAGTATTCAACATGGTGGGAGTAGAGATGCCCAACTTTGAAGAAAACTGTTAGCTTCTGGTACCATTTGGAATTTGTGCCTCTTCCATCCACTGTCAACCAACTAGGATCGAGGTGTTCCCCATCTGTATGGCATAGAAGAGTCTCATAATTGTTTAGTCACTGTTTTGAAAGAAGCACGCCATTGTAGTGAGGAGCTGTATAGCTCATGAAAAAAATTATAAAGAATGTTGTTCAGAAATTAAAAAGCATTTTATTTTTATTTGTGTCCCTTTCTGTATTATAGAGCAATTATTTGTCGCTGCATGTTCTAAAGGATACAATGACCTCTTGTGGACCTCACAGTGGAGCATTTGGGGGTCTGGGTAATCAGTAGAGCCCATCTAGGGAGAGGCCTTTAACTTGCTTAGGTTGCATAAGTATTGAGAATATTCAGCTTGTAAACTGAGGAAGTTCTCCCACCTCAATGGAGTCGGGGATACCTTGAATCTTCCCATTGTACTACTGTGTCTTGTCTTCAAGTTTGCCCACATTTGTGGTAAGTTGTGAAAAGTTTTTACCGAGCTCTTGTAGTAGTCTTAATGCGCCCAGAGAGTGTATCAAGATTTTATTTAAAAACTGCCAAAGCAGAAGTGAAAAAGGCTTCAATATCAGACATTAAACCTGAGATGTCTGTTTTGGTGGCAAGATTTGGGTTCCAGTTTGTCACAGCTGGTGTGGGGCAGCCACAGGACCGAGATAGAATGCCAGACATATCCACACTGTCTTCATCTGATGCAGACAGGGAATCCCAGCAAGAGAATGATGGCGGGACCACCATTTGGGCCTTGGGGGGTTGGTGACAAGAAGACAGATATTTGGTTAGTACTGCCAGCCGATGGATGAGATTTGAGGGTACATTTCCTATAGTGTGCCCAGACATGACAGCTCTTAGTGGGGTCAAAAATAATGCAGGTATGTGCTGAATAGGTTGCTCAGAACAAGCAAACTCACAAAGCACTATTGCAGCCCATTCACCATGCTGCCTGGCTCCAACCTCAATATAAAGTTTGTTTTAATGCTACCTTCTTTAGCTCTAAAAGACTTGATTTCTGATTGTTACAACATTATTCCATTTTCTGATTATTTTTTACCTTGCTATTTTGTTACATGAAAACCATATGTACATAATAGAATAATGTTTAAAATATTATGCCTTCTATGTCTGATAAAATGAACATACAGGAAAATTACCTTTGGATTCCCAGCAACAGGCCAAATATATTGCAAAACAATGTGTTGAACACACCCCAGGCAATAATAGGGTTTAAATAGCTTTGAAAAATATCTTAGTATTTGGAAAATTTGTAATATGAATTATAGTAAGTAGGTCTGTTTTGCATGAAGCAAGAAGAATGCAGTCCTGTTTTAGAGCCCTGGTGAAGCACTTACTAAGACGATGACTACAGCAATGGTAAGTATGAAACACATTTCACTGTCCAGTGCTGGGTTAAATGTACCATAGGTCTGGAGATGTATGTACGGTGCTCTTCTAAATGACGATTGATCACAGTAAACATTAATAGGTCATGGGGAGCCATTCTAAATGGCAGTATGGGTGAAAGCCATGACCATGTGAAACCTCTTTTTGTTCCACTACCATGAGCTCTATTCCTTCTCAGAGAACACTCAAGATATTCAGAATTAATCCCAGTCTAAACCCATAAAGGCCCATACCATATAAAGGCTTATTTATCCTCTGCCATTTTCCCCTGGTTTTAATCCCTGGCGATTTGCAGATGTAAAGCACAGACTGTGGCTCCTTAGGGTACAGACTGTGATTAGGTCTATCTCTGAGAACAGTCTGCATTAATCAGAGCTATACTGCCAGGAAATGATCTAATATGCTGGTGGATTCCATTCAGAATGCAGACCGCAAAATTTCCACCATCTTCTGATCTCCATACTGGACCCATAGTGCTGCAGCAGCACTGCCTAAAGCCTACTCTCATAATGATGAAGAAGAGGAGATGTCCGTGTATTGTCACAGACCTGACAGTTGCAGTGCATTGAAACATGAATTACAGGTAGCAGCACTACATTATTAATTACAGAAATTGTTTTTTCTCTGGCTTTTTGGGGCCTATTACTTAACAACGGTCCTAGAGCACATGTCCAAATACGCCTCTATTCCTGTCCAATGTAACGTCGTCATCTCACGAGGCTCTGAACTCGCTTAAGTTCAGTCAGGTATTACTTCTGCCATGTTCATGTGTGCGACCAGAGCCAAATTAAAGTTCCCCAGGGCAGGGTTCCAGATTGGGTCCTCCTCCTAGAGCCATGGGCTCTGTTTCTGTGAGTGGTGTATGAGAGTGTGTGTAGTGGCTCTGTGTTGTGTATGGATGAGGCTGAATGCTGTATGTGGGGGCTGAGTGTGTCTGTGTCTCTTGCATTGTGTGCATGTTTATGTGTCTGAGTGTTCTTGTGTGTACATGTGTGTACATGTGTGTACATGTGTGTATCTGTGTCTGAGAGCATTTGCGTGTTTGGTAGTTGTTTGCATTGTTTTGTTTGCAAAGGGGGTTGCTTGTGGACCCGGTGTGCTTATGGTGATGCTGTGATTCATGTGTGGAAGGTGACTGTGCATGATGATGACTATATTCAGGGTTGACTGAGATATGGTCAGTAGGGTGTGGCTGTGGCAGAATGAAGGGGGTAAATGTGATAGGGAGCGGGGCATGATTGTGGCTATGTTTGGGGGTGAGTGTGACAGGATTTGAGGTTGGGGAGACTGTGACAGGGTTTGGGGGTAGGTTTGACAGGCTATGTGGAAGAGTGTGGCAGGGTGAGGGATGGTGAGTGTGCAACGATTTAGAGGTGAGTGTTACAAGGTTAATGTGGCAGTGTTATAAGTGTGACAATGTGAGTGACTGTGTCATGCTGAGTGCAGGGTTGACAAGGTATGGGAGCTGAGTTTGTGTAGAGGAGTTAAGTTATATTGGGAGGCTGTGTTGTACACACATAGTAATGCCTTTTATTTTTTTTATCACTTTTGCCCGCCTCCTGTGCAGTAAGGGTGGCAATAATACATTCCCTGGTGGCAGAGGCGGCTTTGCAAGGCCTTTGCGAGGCCTTAGCCAAAACTCAAACATTAGGCCCATTAGCATGTTTATAAGAACCTGTAGATATATTAAATGGCAGGCTTGCAGTTTTGGATCCAGAGACTCTGCAGGCCTGGACTGGCAATCGGGCACACCGGGCAAATGCCCGGTGGGCCGTGGTGGCCAGGGGACGAGGCCGGCCGGGGAGATCAAAGTACTCCCTCACCGGCCCACATGTAGTATATTGCGGCCACATGTAATATATTGGGAGAGAGGGAGACAGGAGGAACCCGGAGGAGCTCTAACTTGCAGCTCCGCCGGGGTCCTCTCGCGAGATTCGGAGCATTGCCATGGCACCACCACTAGCACCACCAGGGATGGATATAAGCAGCACGGCCCCCCCTCCCAGGCTAAAGGTAAGAACAGAGGGGGGATATAATCACTCATAGCACCCTCACTCACACACACACACACACCCTGCACCCCTGACACTCACAGCACCCTCACACACACACACACACACACACTCAAGCACCAACACACACACAAACACACACTCACAGCGCCCTTACTCACTCACACACACATACACACACACTGCATCTCTGACACTCACAGCACCCTCACTCACACAAACAAACACACTGTAACCCTGAAACTCACAGCACCCTCACTCTCACACACACATACTGCACCCTAACACTCACATAGCACCCTCACTCAAACACAGCACCAGCAGTCAAACACAGCACACACATACTGCACCCTTGACACTCACAGCACCCTCACACACAAACACACACACACACACACACACTCAAGCACCCTCACACACTCACGGCACCAACACACACACTCACAGCACCCTCACACACACATACACAGACACTGCACCCCTGACACTCACAGCACCCTCACTCACACAATCACACACACAGCACCCCTGACACTCATAGAACCTCACTCACACACACTGCACCCCTGACACTCACAGCACCCTCACTCACACACATGCATACACACTGCACCCCTGACACTCACAGCACCCTCACTCTCACACACACATACTGCACCCTCACATGCACATATCACCCTCACTCAAACACACCACCCTCACTCTCACACACACATACTGCACCCTCACACTGCACCCCTGACACTCACAGCACCCTCACTCACACACATGCATACACACTGCAACCCTGACACTCACAGCACCCTCAGTCTCACACACACATACTGCACCCTCACATGCACATAGCACCCTCACTCAAACGCAGCACCCAGCACTCAAACACAGCACACACAAACTGCACCCTCACACACAGCACCCTTACCCACACTCCCTGCACTTCTCTTGTGCACACACTACACCCCTAACACACACACATCATCCTAACACACACAGCACCCTTACTCACACACACACACTGCACCCCTGATACTCACAGCACCTTCACACACACACACACACACACACTGCACCCCTGACACTCACAGCACTTTTACACACACAGACACTGCACCCTCACACACACACTGCACCCTCACACACTGCATCCTTACCCACATAGCACCCTCATGCAAACACAGCACACATCACTTACACACAGCACACACACACATCACTCTCACACACACAATGCACAATACTCTCTCCTGGTATTTTTGTCTCTTGGTATCCCATCTATGGAGACACCAGAGACAAATTTCAAGCAAACACAGTACAAGCATGTTATTAAATTTGCTTGCGCTGTGCAGAACAAATACAGGGTCCTTTTCTCATGCTAGAGTTCTTCACACTCTGCCCTGGAAGAGCATTGAACCAACATGCTCACATCGGTGATGACAAAAAACACCCTATGTGGCCCCACCCCTTTTTAGTGGGCCGCTGTAATTAAAAAATGCCCGGGCTGAATTTTCTTCCCAGTCCGGCCTTGAGTCTCTGTATTCATCTTTAGAGGGTTGCATTGTCGCAGCTCCCTATGCCACTGCGTTGTGAGTTCTTTGACTGTAGTTATGGCATAATATGCAAGAAACAAATTTAATTTACAATCATGCTAATCATTTATACACGATTACTCGGTATGGTTGTATAGCCTGGCAGTCGTGTATACATAAGTGCCAGTGTAAAGGGGTTATTGGTAACAAAAATTAAAATTTTGGTTTGGCTTTTAAAAAATGTACCATATAATAAAGTTACTGATAAGAAAACAATGTCATAGACATTTTCCCCTCATTTGTATGCATATAATATATATGTTGCTTCCAACTTTACCTTTGCATTACCCATACCATACCACCTTCAATTACAGACATAGACATACACACTAATACATGAACACATATAAACACTAATACACAAACACATATAGACACTGAAACAAGCACATACACCCCCCCCACACACACACACACAAAAACAAACACTGCTGCACAGAGACACAAATATTAACTAAATGTGTATTTATCTGGCTGTGTGTATTTGAGTGTGTCTCACTGTGTGTGTGCCCAAGAGTGTCTGACAGTGAGTGTTTTGTGTGTATGTGCGGTGTTTTGTGTGTATGTGGGTCTACCTGTGGCCTTTGTGCATTTTGTTTATGGCCAAGCTATGTTTTATGACTTTGTGTGTATGATGATTGTCTTCAGGGGTGACTGTGACAAGGCAAATGCCTTGTTTGCCTCGCGGCTAAAACGTCCCTAGGGCTGAGTGAGGGGTGACAGGGGGCTGAGTGAGGGGGTGACGGGTAGCTGAGTGAGGGATGACAGCAGGGCCGCCACCACAAATTTTGGGGCCCCTAACTCAGGGGGGCCCGCCACCAAATACCTCCCACAGGAATACACACACAGACACAAACACACACACTTATACAAAAGGACACAGATACATACTAAAGTGAGTGTGTCAGGGTTAAGGGGGCAACAGTGTGTGTGGGAGTGTGGTGACAGTGTGGGGAGTGGTGACTGTGTGTGGAGGGGGTGACAGTGTTTGTGCATGAAGGGGAATGTCAGAGTGTGAAATGGGCTGACAGAGTGCGAAAGGGTGGGAGAGTGTGAAAAGGTGGCGGAGTGTGGAAAGGGTGAGAGGTGGGAGGGAGGGGTTGACAGGTGGCTGAGTGAGGGAAGGAGGGGGTGACAGGTAGCTGAGTGAGGGGGTGACAGGGAGCTGAGTGAGGGAAGGAGGGGGTGACTGGGGGTTGAGTGAGGGGGTGACAGTTAGCTGAGTGAGAGGTGACAGGGGGCTGACAGACAGACATACAGACAGACATACAGACATACATACAGACAGACATACATAGACATGCATACATACATACATACAGACATACATACAGACAGACATAGACACACATACAGACAGACAGACAAACAGACATCCAGACATACTAACAGACACACATACTGAAACAGACATACACGCATACAGGCATACATACTGACACACACATACTGAGACATACACACAGGCATACATAGTGACAGACAGACACATACTAACATACATACAGACACACATGCATGAGGACATAAAGACACATACATACATACAGACACCGACATACATACATACACACATACATACATACATTCATACATACAGACATACTGACAGACATACAGACACTGACATCCATACACACATACATTCATAATGGCATACAGACATACACAGACATACATTCATAATGGCATACATACATACATACATACATACATACTGTCACGTATTCATCCGCTTACAAAAATGTGGTTAATGACATTTACTGTCCACACAGGAAAAGTTGTGCCGAGCAACAACCAAATCCACAGAAGGGTTAATGCTGAGCAGCAATTATGCAAATGAGATCTGTTAACTGCCTTTGGGGTCAAAGGCCGGTTACAGCCTATCAGATCTAGAGGAGGGGTATTTAGGGCCAGTTCTCATCCTGCTCACTGCCCTGTCGTGGTTTCCCTTGTGGTTGTCCGAGAGCGTGTTATTGATTCTGGTTATTCAGGTTATTTGACTTTGGCATTGTTTTTGACTTCCATGTTTTCTGGCATCCCTGACTCCTGGCTTTTCCTTATCGTTGTGTCTCTTTCTGTTTCCCTTGACCTCGGTAATTCCTGACTATTCTTTGGTACGTTAGTCCGGCCATTCTAAGGTCCGGTATACGTTACCTATCAGTCCTCTGTGTTACACAGTTCTACATGCTGGGTCATTCTGTAATCCTGACACATACATACATTTAGACTGACATACATGCATATATACAGACATACTGACAGACATACATGGATACAGACATCCATACACACATAATGATATGCAGATATACATTCATACTGACATACAGACATACATATATAATGACATACAGACATACATATATACATGCATAGACATACATACAGACAGACATACATACATACACATACATGCATGCATACATACAGACATACATACATACATAAAGACATACATACATACATACATGCACATACATACAGACATACATACAGACAGACATAGACATACATGCCTGCATACATACAGACATACAGACATACATGCACATACATACAGACAGACATACATAGACATGCATACATACATACATACATACATACATACAGACATACTAACAGACACACATACTGAAACAGACATACACGCATACAGGCATACATACTGACACACACATACTGAGACATACACACAGGCATACATAGTGACAGACAGACACATACTAACACATACTAACATACATACAGACACACATGCATGAGGACATAAAGAAACATACATACATACATACACACATACATACATACATTCATACACGTGGGGCCCGGGCGGCCAGGCCTCCCAGGGCCGCTGGGCCCCCTGATGGCGGCCCTGGATGACAGGGGGCAGAGTGAGGGAAGGAGGGAGTGACAGGGGGCAGAGTGAGGGGGTGAAAGGGAGCAGAGTAAGTGAAGGTGATAGGGCTGAGTGGGGGGTGACAGAGGCAGAGTGGGGAAGGAGAGTGAGCCCAGGGGGCAGAGTGAGGGGTGAAAGGGGGCAGAGTAAGCGAAGGTGCTTTAGACCTGAGTGGGGGTAACAGGGGCAGAGTGAGGGTGCCACAGGGGCTGAGTGAGGGGGTTACAAGGGGCAGAATGGGGAGGAGGTAACAGAGGGGCTGAGTAAGAAGAGGGGGACATGGGGCAGAGTGAGGGGAGTGACAGGGGGCTCAGTGAGGGTGATGGGCAAAGTGAGGGTACAGGAGGAGGGGTAACAGGGGGGCTGAGTGAGGGTGACAGGTAGCTGAGTGAGGGGGTGATTGAGAGTGAGGGGTAACAGGGGGCAGAGTGAGGGAAGGAGGGGGTGACAGGGGCTGAATGGGGGTGACAGGGGCAGAGTGAGGGGGTGACAGGGTTCAGAGTGAGGATGTGAGAGGGGGAAAAGTGTGGGAAGGAAGGGGTGACAGGGGGTAAAGAAGATAGGTATTAGAAATATGTTTATTTCCAAGGTGGTCGAGTCTCCTGGCTCCCTGGTGGTCCAGTGGCCTTCCTGTCCGGTCTGCGGGTGTGAGCTGCAGACCACGTGATAGGAGTCTCGCGATCTCCAGAAGCCAGAGCGTTGCTGTGGAAACCCGCGCCAATGCTCTGATTGGCTGGGGATTGCGAGACACTTCAGTCTGTAGCTCACACCTGGCAGAGCTGCAGACTGAAGGCTGGCTCTCACGGCAGACTGGAGGGGCCTCACACCCAGCGGCACACAGGGCAAGCCGCCTGGCCCCCTCCCGATGTCGGGCCTTTGGTCATGGACAGAGGGTCTGACAAGTCACTCTGCTGTAAGGTGATTTAGGCGGCCGCGAGGCCCCAGTCAGCGCAAGGCCTTAGACGGCCATCTAAATTGCCTAATTAGAGAGCCGCGCACCTCTGCCTGGTGGTCCAATACTTTTCCTGGTGGTCTGGTGGGCTCCCTGTACAGCTGCAGGCCTTCTGTTCTGGCACTCTGTTAGGAAGTCAGAGAAGAGACTTGGAATCCAGGCGCATGCGCTCTGACTTCATCACAGTGTCTCCCAACCATGAGGAACCATAATTAGACCATGGACCACCAAGTAATTATTTCTAAAGGGCTGTGCGGGGAGATCTCTTGATTTTCCAATAAGCTCAGCGGGGTGGGGCCCTCTCAGAGCCAGAGCTATAGTTTCAGACAGGAGCCCAGTGCCTAGGCGGGCACTTCGGTTGATTTATGGGTAATCCAGCTCTGTATCCGACATCATAGTGTTCGTGCATTCTGCATTAGGTGTTAAAGGATATTATGTAATATGTTCTAGCTGTGCCGGTGTTCTATCAGTTTGGTATACCCCGTCAGATTGCTATACCCACGTCACTTCCGGGGAGGGGAATCAGCTGTCTCCTGTGCTGCACATGCGTGCTACTCCTCCACAGCAAGGTCCTGGAAGGTAAGTAAAACTAGTTTTACACTTTCATTATAGTTAGTGCATTCACTAAGCTTAGGACATGGGGCATTTAGGGTTAATGTTAGGGTTCAAATTAGGGTTAGGATTAGGGAATTGTTCATATTTAGTGATATTTCACATTAGGGGAATATCACTAAATAGTGATTTCTCACACTTTATTTTAACCCTTACCCCAATGGTTAGGGTAAGAATAGAGTGTGAGAGCGGTTAGAAGCACTTACCTAACCCTAATTTGTACCCTCACTTAACCCTAAATGTCCCGTGTGCCTAAGCTTAGTGAATGCACTAACTATAATGAAAGTGTAAAACTAGTTTTACTTACCTTCCAGGACATTGCTGTGGAGGAGTAGCAGGAGTGCTAGCACGCATGTGCAGCACAGGAGACAGCTGATTCCCCTCCCCGGAAGTGACGTGGGTATAGCAATCTGACGGAGTATACCAGACTGATAGAACACCGGGATAAAATGTCATATGACATGAATAAAAAAAATACATTGAAAATAAATAAATAAAAATAGTGCAACCAACAGTTAACTTTTAGTTATCAGGTTGGGCAGAAAATAACCCCAATATAACAGTTTTGCAAATTATGTTCTATTGTTTAATTTTTTTCTATTAAAAATAGTTAGCTATCCCTTAATCAAAAGGTGTCTATTAATTAAACACTGATTTGTAATTAATAGAAAGTAGATTTTTTTTAAAATTTGGGCTAAAATCCCCAAGGTGTCAATACACAGTTGCAAGAAAAAGTATGTGAACCCTTTGGAATGATATGGATTACTGCACAAATTGGTCATAAAATGTGATCTGATCATCATCTAAGTCACAACAATAGACAATCACAGTCTGCTTAAACTAATAACACACAAAGAATGAAATGTTGCCATGTTTTTATTGAACACACCATGTAAATATTCACAGTACAGGTGGAAAAAGTATGTGAACCCTTGGATTTAATAACTGGTTGAAAATCCTTTAGCAGCAATAACTTCAGCCAAACGTTTCCTGTAGTTGCAGATCAGACGTGCACAATGGTCAGGAGTAATTCTTGATCATTCCTCTTTACAGAACTGTTTCAGTTCAGCAATATTCTTGGGATGTCTGGTGTGAATCGCTTTCTTGAGGTCATGCCACAGCATCTCAATCGGGTTGAGGTCAGGACTCTGACTGGGCCACTTCAGAAGGCATATTTTCTTCTGTTTAAGCCATTCTGTTGTTGATTTACTTCTATGCTTTGGGCAGGGGCGGACTGAGACCCCCGGGCAAAATAAATCAAGGGCCCCCTTACAGGCCCCACCCATACTCCTCAGCAAGCACCACCCTTGTCCCGCCTCCATGCACCGCCTCCAGCCACACCCTACACAATCTTTAGACACAAGGAACAAAAGTGCAATAATCCCTTTGAGGCCCCAGTAGAGACTACAATTGAGGGCTAATGGGCCATGGAGGAGGGTCTTTCTAGCAGAGGCTATCTCAGTGTCCTTTAGAGAGTGTGTTAGAAAGAATCCCCTCCAAGCCCCATTAGAGACTACAATGGAGTCTAATAGGCTTGGAAGGGGGTCTTTCTAACAGAGGCCATCTCATCGTCCATTAGATAGCCCCTGCTGGAAACAGTTGCCTCCAGTAGAGACTACAATTGAGGGCTAATGGGCCATGGAGGGGGGGGGGGTCATTCTAGCAGAGGCTATCTCAGTGTCCTTTAGAGAGTGTGTTATAAAGAATCTCCTCCAGGCCCCATTAGAGGTTACAATGGAGTCTAATGGGGCCTGGAGGGGGGTCTCTCCAACACTCTGTTTCCTATTCACAATATAGCAACACAACATAGCTGATACCTAGGCCAAGTTGGCTCCTCTTACCTTAATTACTGTTGCTGGCTGACAGGCTGTGGGCTTGCTGGCTGCGGCTGGCAGGCTGTGGGCTTGCTGGCTGCGGCTGGCAGGCTGTGGGCTTGCTGGCTGCGGCTGGCAGGCTGTGGGCTTGCTGGCTACTGCTGGCAGGCTGTGGGCTTGCTGGCTGCGACTGGCAGGCTGTGGGCTTGTTGGCTGTAAGCCTGTGGCTTGCTGTAGGCCTGTGGGCTGACTACTGGCCTGGCTGGCCTGTGGGCTGGCTAACTGGTGGCTTGTGGGCTGCCT